AACAGGGGAAGCTCAGAAGGTAAATATTTCAAACTTTTCACCAAAACAAATATATGTTCATTTTGTTCCTTCCTGCCATGACTACTGGCAAAATCCATTCAGTGTCTTGTGAATGCACTTGTTTTGTCTTTATTTATTTATTTATTTTTTCCATTTTTCAATTAGATTCTTTGTGGCTCAATAATCTTCAAGATGCAATTGCTTGATGATGAACAGAATGATTTTGAATCTCAAAATATATTTGATGAAAGCATAACTAGTTTAGTTCTCCATTTCTGATCTTCCCATCGTTAACGTCAAGCTTCATGTCTACTACTGTTACAGAGAGAATCAAAGAGAAGAAAGAAAATGACATAAAGAACGAAGGGCAAGATGAAGACATGGAGCTTCCAGTATTTCAACTAGCTACAATCTCACATGCAACTGATAATTTTTCACTCAGCAACAAGCTGGGTCAAGGGGGTTTTGGACCTGTTTACAAGGTATGTTTTGCAGCATGTTAATGAAATTGACCATAAGAAAATAGCATTTGGTTTTAGAAAAAAAGAGGCAAATTAGGCCCCAAAAAAATTATTTTTCACAGAAAAATTAGCTCTTGATGAAACTTTGGTGTCTAATCAGTCTTTGAACTTATGGACAACAGCAAATAAGTCCAAAGTGGGTGGAAATGTTGACATGGCCATGTAGTTTTGTTTAATTTTTTTAGTCATAAGTATGAAAGTATGATTTAAGCAGTCCACGTCAGTCTTTTCTATGAATAAATGCTGATACGATTTCACCATGTCATATAAATTTAAGAGGGACTAACAGCTTTGTCCATTTGGAGTTATTTGCTCCTATTTGTAAGTTTAGCGGCTGATTTGACACTGAAGTTTGATCGGGGGCTTATTTGCTAATGATAAATATTTTAGGTTAAATGTCAATTTTGATTTTTCAACTTTAAAATTTAGCACATATTTGTTCCCTCAAGTTTTTTATGCACTTTTTTCCCTCAATTATGAGAAATATATTTTTTTTAATTCTTTTGTTAGTTGATCTATTAAGTTTATTTATATATATTTTTAGTTTCTTAATTTTAGGATTTTGCATAATTTTTATCCACTAACTTAAAAATTTAAGAACTAAAAATATGCATATATGAATATATTTAACAGACTAATTAATAAAAGAACTAAAAACATTCATTTTTCATAGTTAAAGGATCAAAAAAATATTAAAAAGTTAATGGTATAAAACTATGTAAAATTCCAAAGTTGAGGGACCAAATTGGAATTTAACCAATATTTTATGTGGCTAATTTGCCTATTTTTCCTTTGTCTTTACCACTACGTACTTGGTCCTTCTTATTTTTCTAGGGGAAATTAGTAGATGGGCAAGAAATTGCTGTGAAAAGGCTCTCCTTGAGTTCTAGACAAGGAGTGAATGAGTTCAAGAATGAGGTTAAATTGATCGCCAAACTTCAACACCGGAATCTTGTTAGGCTTCTTGGGTGTTGCATTGAAGGGGAGGAGAAGATGCTGGTTTATGAATACATGCCTAACAAAAGCCTAGACTCATTCATTTTTGGTTAGAATTTTTCTATCAATCTTGGACTAATGTAGTTATATTGTATCTATTTCACGCATTTAGATGAAGTAGGATTACCAAATTGTCATGAACGCAATATTGTTTTCCAGATCAAACAAGGGGGAAAGAATTAGATTGGTCCAAGCGTTTCAGGATTATCTGTGGGATTGCAAGGGGGCTTCTCTACCTTCACCAGGATTCCAGATTGCGGATTATTCATAGAGATCTCAAACCTAGTAATGTTCTTCTTGATAAGGAGATGAACCCAAAAATTTCAGATTTTGGGATGGCCAAAACTTTTGGAGGAGAGCAGACTGAAGGGAGCACAAGAAGAGTTGTTGGCACATAGTAAGTATTATTTTAGTACTTACATAGTTTTACTTTTATCTGTAAATGCCAATTAATCTATTCTCTTATGAACATTGTT